GAAACACGTCTCAAAGAAAAAAAAAAAAAAAAAAAGAGTGAAGGCTTGGGACCAGCAGATGGCATAATGCTTACGTTGCTGGACTCCCATGTAGCCAACTGTGGTTCGAGTCCCAGACCTGAAGGCATAAAGTTTACACCGGGCATGTGTGCATGCGTGCTCACAATCCCAGGAGAATGGAGGAGAAGGGACTGCAGCGTGGTCATCCCCCCTGGGGGTGATTTTCGCTTTGTCTCTGTCTCTCTGGCTAGCTCATGCACCCTATAGCAAAAATCTCTCTAAAAAGGGCCGGCAGGTGGTGTGGTGGTTGAGGGCACTGGACTCCCACATGGCCAACAATGGTTCAAGTCCTGGATCTGGTGGCTTGCTTTCTTGTCCTCCCGCCGCCCCCGTTCCATCCCTCTCTGATCAAATAAATAAATAAATAAAGTCAAATAAATTAATTCTTAAAAAAAAAAAAGAATAAAAACTTTTTAATAAAAGGACTAAGGTGTGCCTGCTGGCCCGGCAGGTATTGGGGGCCGCGCCATCCTGAACCGACCTCAGAGGCCAGGGCCACCTCCTGCCCAGGCTGGCAGAGCATGGGGCAAAGCACAGGGCCTTTGTGGATCGCCGAAGTCCTGCTCAGACCCCGGCCCAGTTCCCCCTAGAGTCCCCAGCCCATGTCTCCTCTGGAGCGGACGTGACAGTCCTCGTACTCCGCAGGTTACTACCCACCACCTAGGAGTCCAGCAGTGTGCACGCAGGCTCCGTGCTCTGTGACCACCTAACCCCAGCACCCTTCTCACAGGCTGCGGGGCCCCCTCGCCCTCGGCCTCTCCTGCTGTCTCCACCCACGCCTGCATCCACGCCCTCTCAGGGACACCCTCCCTCTCCTTGGCCCAGGTGCCCAGGACCTTAAACTAAAGCTGCACATCTCGTAGCTCCTCTGGGCTCACAGTCCCCCCTGCCTACATGACACTTCCATCTGGCGTCTTGGCACGTCCCGCCCTCCCCCCCACCTGTTCCTCTCTCTGCCTTCTCCCTTCTCTGTCTCTCCACCCTGACCTGCACACCCTGAAACTCGCTCCTCCTCGATCCTTCCAGCAGGCCAGCAAGTCCTGCCAGCTCAGCTCCACACCCACACCTTCCCACGTCTCCCCACCATCCACGCCGGCTGTCACCTGGACCACCGTGGACCTCCCACACAGGTACCTAAACCCTAAGTTCCCGGGAATGGGGACCATGTCTGTGAGGTCCCTGGTGCTCAACGAAAGCTTGCTGAATGAATGAGTGAAAAATCCTCACGACAACCAAGAATGGTAGGAACAGTGATCACAATATATTTTTAAAATTTTCTGTTTTAGAGATGAGGAAACAGGTTCAGAGGGGGAAACACTGGGTCGAGGTCCCATGGCTGGTGGGAGGCAAAGCTGCGGCCCGTCTGCCATGTCCACACCCAGCCCACTGCACTCTCCTGCCCTGGGACTGGAACCCGGCCATCATGGCCTTGGGGCCGGGGGCTTCTTCTCAGTGCCCTGGGCTGCCTCCTTGGCTCAGCACCCTTCCTCCTGCTTGGCAGAAACCCCAGGCCTCGTGTGTGTGAGGGCAGGGGTAGCTGAGTAGGGTGGGGAGACGGCAGGGATCTGGGCGTGACAAGCAGCAAGAAGCCTGAGTGATGAGCAGGCCGCCTGTCGCCTGCGCTGTCAGGGCCTTCCCTCCCGGGTTCCCTAAGCCACAGCTCTGGGGGACAGCTCTGAGACCTTGTCCTCTGCCTGCAGAAGGCTGGAAGCCAGGGGCGGGGCAAGAGCCCTTGCAGACAGAACAAGGCCTGGACAGGGCCTCCTAATTTTAGAAAACCCCCGGGGAGAGGGTGACTCACAGCCTGCCAAACTGGGAGGGGCAGCCCCGCTCTGAGGTTGGTAACTGGGCTGTCAGGCAACGGGCTGAACACACCCTGGTCCTGGCCAGGTACAGGGAGCGGGCGAGGCCTACAGGCCCGTACACCACCCTAGGAGGGGAGGCTGACAGGGATGCGGCGGCAGAGTTCTGACGGGGGAACCTGAGGGTCGCAGCCAATCCCTGACACTTGCCTCTGCCCCAACTCTTTGAGGCCCTTCTGGAGAAAGGATCCAGAAGTCCTGTAAAAGTCATTTCAGCCAATAGATGGATAGCGACTGAATGCATACAAAAATAATAATAATAAAGACGTTGCTGTCCCAGCAGTGGCACACGGGAGAAAGGATAGCGACTGTGGAGCTGTGTCAGAGAGAAGGACCTCCTACCCAGGAACGGGACGGGACTGAACCAGCATCTTGCATCTCTCTCCTTGGGACCTGGGTGAGGCCTGACCCTCGCCACTCATGGACAGGTGAGGGGAGACCTGACAGCTCGGGGGGCCTCCGAGGGGTGCTCGCCCTCACTCACTGGGCCCCGGGATGCTCAGCCCAGGCCTTCGCTGCCCTCCTGATGGGAGCACGCCCTTCAAGGTGGCCCCTGCGCCCCGGAAGCCTCACCGCCTCGCTGCCCCTGCCCTGGGCTGTGGCCACACGACACTCCTGGTGCTCCTGGACAAGGCAGGCCTTTCTCCTGCCCAGACCGGCTGTCCTCGCCTGGACCACTAACTGTCCCCATTCTTCGAGGCTGCCCCTTCTCACCTGGGTCTCAGCAAAATGACTCATGAGCATTTGCTCGACTGTTACAGGGATTCATTTCCTACCCTGACGTCCACTCATCTCCAAGCACGCCCTCCCCTTCAAACACAGCACAGCTGTCACCACCTGTCTTTCTGATGGACCCCTCTGTCCCACGGCCCGTGAGGCTCCTGCTCAACGTGCCGTCCTCAGCTCACTGCCAGGGCCCTGCTGCGTGGTAAGGGCAGAGAGCAGGATGCTACCGCGCAGTACTGAAGCCACACGGCAAGGCCCTGGGTCAGGCTCCCAGGTCGATCTGGACCTGAGACACGCCTGTGGTGCGCCTACCTGGCTGGGAGGCTGGGATTACAGCATAGCAGTCCCTGTCTGTCCCTCTCATGGAAGAAAGAAACTTTTTTTTCTTTGGAGGGGTTTTTGCTATAGGGCACGTATGCTTGCCAGAAAGACAGAGGGAGACAGAGATAGAAAGCGAGAACGCCGCAATCCCTTCTCCTCCATTCTCCTCTCAGGATCTTGGGCACTCACGTGCGCGCGCCTGGCGTGAGTTTAAGCCACCGGGTCCGGGACTCAAACTGCGGTTAACTACATGGGAGTCAAGCAACATAGCCATTACACCAACTGCTGGTCCCGAAAGAAATAAACATTTAAAAAAAAACCCTAAACATTGGCAGAAAGGAGGGAAGGACATGCCGGTCCCACCGTCATTCAGTCAGAGTAGCGTCCACTCACCTCTGCGGAGAAGTCCCCGTGGTGCAGGAGCAGCAAGGTGTCCCCAGACTTGGTGGAGTAGGGGACTAGCTGGTCACCCCGCTGCCGGGCAATCACGGTGACCTGCTCAGAGAATTGAGTCAGAGTTGAAGGGAGGAGTCAGGGGACGCAGGTGTGAGGCAAGATCCCTGCCTCCTCACCCCTACGACCCTGTGCTAGGACTGTGTGCCAAGCAGTGAGTAAGGGAAGAGACCTTGAGGCTCCTCTCTCCATTCCCTTGCCTGGACGTGCCAGCCCCTGGAGCTCCGTGGAGCTGCTTCATCCAAAGGCTCACGGAGGACCTGGGGCTGACGCCCACACTGGGCAGGAAGAGCTGGGGCACCGCATGGCAGGGTCGGGAGCCTGAGTATTTATAGATCGAAAGCCAGGGCTGGGGGAGGGGCAGCGTGTGACTGCACACCCTCGAGAGGCGTGACAAGACCCCCCAGAACGGCAGTTCTCAGCCTTAGGGCTGTGGGTACAGGGGACACGGGCCTCAGAAACTGCTCGAGAGGTCGGCCGGCTGAGTGTGGCTGTGAGCACACACGGGCGTTCCGGAGGGGCCCGGCACTCAAAGCACAGCCGGTGTCTGCCAGGCAGGGGGTGAAGCCTGGCTTCGGGGCTGCCCTGAGGAGGCAGGTTACCACGTGAGCAGGGCCGAGGTCAGGGTCATCGGCGCTCAGTCCCGCGTAGGAGAAGTAGACACGGAGGTCTCCAACCTGGGGAGGGAAGAAGACGTGGGGAGGATGAATCGGGGAGCCCCGGTAGGGTGGGCCGGGTGCACACCAGTCAAACTGCAGAACCCTACACTCGTCCCCCCCCACGCTTGGCCTGCCACCTGCGAGGCCTCCCTGCCCCAGTGTCCTCTGGCCCAGGGCCGCCGTGGAATACCCGAACCGAACTGGCCTCGAGCAGCATCCCCACTTACCTCCGGATACTTGGGGTTCTCACTGTGGTAGAAGAAGTCTCCGCGGCGGACGATGTCCACGTGGGGGTCCTCCAGCTTGGACAGGCTCAGTGGCTTGAAGTTGTCCACTTTGTCGATGAGGCCTGAGAGAAGCAGCTGTGAGAATCCAAGCTGTGGCATGTGGTGGCCCCGAGCCCCGACCTGCGGGGCCTCCA